GAGAAATGGCATTGAATATAAAATCCAATATCTTATAAGGATTCGTATGGGAAAATGAAAATAAATGTAATTTATTCATTTCTCAGGTATCTACTGTAATTACTCAGGCAATAAGTGACATAGATCTAAAACATCATTTATAATCATACATCTAACCATTATATCACTTAATTTTATAGAAATCAATTACTAGATGTCTTTTCAAAGTATTTTAGTTGATCAACTATTTATCTATATTAAACCCATATCACAYCAGCATCCTGAGTGTGGTCGCAGTTAGAGCTAACAACTCCCCATCCTCTGTGAGAACAGCTTTGAAGTGAGGGCTCTGTACCTGTACATGCCATTTCATCTAGCCAGACCGGTCCCTTCCCTCTTCCATACCACCAAAGTCCTAAAGCTTTTGTGAAACCAAGTTGGCGACATGCAACTTTGGCATCTTCCATACGCCAGTTATCATCACAGACCGTTCCCCATTGACTATTCGAGAGATTGGTAGAGCTTTACAATACCATCAACGAATTAATTAACTTAATTTTACTTTAAAAAATCGTCTAACGCTGTAAAAATAATTAGTTTATTTAAGGATTTCTATTACATAACAAGAACAAAAATGTAAACTAATTTCATCGGTGAGTATTTCATCTGCGAATATCCCCTTCACTTTTATAAAAGCTCTTTTTGTACGTTTGAAATTCGTAAGTGCATCTTAAAGAGCCGTATACATCTTTAKGAACACATGTGMAAAGGAATTCACAAAAATRGAAGGGTATTGGCGTTATGSAACAGGAAAGGGACCCGTCTGGCTGAACTGGATRAAATGTACAGGAACAGAAAATTCACTTCAAAGCTGTCCACACGGTGGATGGGGTGGTCATAGCTCTGACTGCAATACTCACGACTACGATGTTGGTGTCTTGTGTTTAGGTTGTGGTTCTYCTACAATACATGCAMTAAATGGTATTGAGTCTAAAACTAAACAGTGTATCTATATGGCAGTTACAAAARCAAAGTGCGTTATGTCCTGCTAATGGATGAAAAGTATCTGATATCATTTTCTGGAAAACAAAAAGTACTTGAATGGAGGTGTAAACGAAMATCTAATATACTAGCAATTTTTATATGTACTGAAAGAAACGGTATTGAACAGCATCAAAACGCCTAAATGGAAAACAAGCGGTAACATTATGCGTGAATGTTCCTTTATACAAAAATAAAATAAAAAAAATAAAAAAAAAGAAGAATATTAGGAACTTTGCTCATACTTGCCACGCGTAACTATAATTATAACTACATTTTACGTTATTATCATTATATATTGGTAGTTTGAAAATAAATTATAGTATAATATTATCTTGTTAACCACCCATAGCAAAATGAATCAAATGCACCTGGGTCTTCTACCTAAAAAAATCTGGTATAAAATGTGTATCACAGGCATAACCAAAAAAGACAACACCAGCATCMTCAGTGTGGCTGCCACAGTTATGGATTCCCCATCCATTGTGACGACAGGACGGAAGTGAGGYCTCTGTACCTGTAYATGCCACRTTATCTAGCCAGACTGGTCCCGTCCCTCGTYCAAGGCGCCAAATTCCTATAGGTTTGGTRAATCCAAGTTGTCTACATGCAACTTTGGCGTCATTCACATCCCAGTAGTCATCACAGACGGTTCCCCATTTCAAATTYGATATATCTGTATCAAACAAAAAACAAAAAAACTATCGTCTCAGAATTGTCCACATCGAAAAATTACGAAAAGCATATTTTTTTAGTCATACAGGAATACGCATGAGGGGTTTCATCATTAGCACGGATTTCAATATTCCTTCAACTCGTAGGCTCATCGAGAAAAAACTTCTTAAAAGGTCTTATATTTATTTAATTAACTAAACTGTTCTCATTCGTTTATTGGTAAAAAAGGATTGTCTTAATCAAAACCTTATCAAGAGAATGAAACAATACAATGAATGTTAATTGCTGGTCTCATCTGCTTTGTGGWTTTAGTATCACACGAGTTTTTTTTTATAGTAATCAATGGGGAACAGTGTGCAATGATGGCTGGGCCGTGRAGGAAGCCGACGTTGCATGTCGRCAGCTTGGGTTTGCGAAAATGGTATGGTAYTGGCGTTATGGAACAGGAAAGGGTCCTGTCTGGCTGAACTGGATGAAATGTACAGGAACAGAAACTTCACTTCAAAACTGTCCACACGGTGGATGGTGTAGTCATAGTTCTGACTGCATTACTCACAAATACGATGTTGGTGTATTGTCTGGTTAATGTTTTAATCTTGTAGTTTTTAACTTAATTTGTGAATAAACCTTGAACTTGATACGTATCTGATGTGACCGTTGATTACAAAGTGAAATGAATAACAAGATATGTAACAGTAGGTATTAATAAACAGTAAAGAAAGGGGGATGCCGGCCGAGAGAAGATTAATGTATTGACTAATAGCTGATATAGTTGGGACGTGTATAAATTTGGTATGAAAAGCCTAGTTGGGATGTTCTCGTAAGATGCGTTGAATCRTTCATGTATTTGAAATTACGAAATTTACACTTCATTTTCAGGATGTCAAGATGTTTACGTGTGAATCATAGGATAGCTTTTGTTGAAGACCATCCATTATAAACATTTTTTCTTGAAATATCCCTGAACTAGACTTGTAGTGGTAACACTGCAGTTGCGAGTTCTCTGTTGCTCAGTGTTGCCCTCGATTTTGGATAGAATACTCCTTTGTTCGTGGAAARTCTAAGTGTTTGTATTGYTGAAGTTGTGCATTCTTTAATTTACCGTTGATATATTTCGGCACTGTACGATCGAGGTTAACCTTGAGTAAATAAGTCTGTAATCAAGAATCACAGCGGTAATTTGGAACTCGAATCTGGTGTATCAAAGACAGCGCGGCAACGAGACTATGATATTARTAGTAACGTACGTGTCTACCACAATGATGMATGGGGAACGGTGTGTCACGATTGGTGGGACATGAGAGAAGCCCAGGTTTCATGCCGACAACTTGGTTTCACAAAACCTTTAGGACCATGGCGCGATGGACGAGGAAATGGTAAAGTCTGGTTGGACAACATGGATTGCACAGGGTCAGAGGCCTCACTTCACAACTGTTCTCATCCTGGATGGGGGGTTTCGGACTCTCTCTGCAAAACTCACATATATGATGYAGGTATTGTGTGTTCTAGCCAAGTATGAATGGAAGAATCATATTTTCTTAATAGTTTTTGAATTCATTAAGTGAATTTGTGTGTTCTAAGACAATATTACTAAACTACAAAATGTACAAAGAAAGATACTAACTACCTGAATAACTTACACTACCAAGGTTGTAAGATTTAGTTGATTATTCGAAATTCGATTTCAAGCTTGTTTACAAACTTGCATTAATTAAACGAACGTTAAAAATTTCAAATCCCGGCATTAYCTCAAAATGCTCATTCAGTTGTTTGTGAATGGAGTTTTGAACGAAGATCAAACCACAGAGATGAGTTTGAAATGGTAGCTACAGCAATAGAAACTATTTTCATTTCGCACGAATCTTTGAAGAACTAAATCGATGTGTTAATACGATTGGAAATTGTTTAACGTGCTTTTAATTAATGCAAGTTTGAAAACAATCTTGAAATCAAATTTCGAATAATGAACGGAATCTTCCAACCGTATAGGAACGYATGAGYTGTTTTGACTGTAAGTGTAAATGTKATTTTAGTTCAACACCGCTAACCAAATAAGCAACCAAACTTAGCATCATAAATATAACTAGGCGTCGCATATTGTTCCCTATGACTCGTGTAGGATATTACGTTCGTAGTTGCCGAGGACTAACGGATATCAAGCCGTTTGGCGAGCAGCGACAATAATCTTGGGCTTCCTGTGTCCCATAAGTCAGCAAAAWTCTCGATTTTGAAAGTTCTTCCATTTGRACCCCCGCGACTGCAATTTCTGGGGCAAGTACKTTTTKCACGTGCCTGCCTCGTGGTAGTGTTTGGTCGCGCGTGATCTCTTTCACGTATGACAAATAAATCAAAATATATAGAGGCACCTCTATGGACAGGATGCGTTGTTCTGGTACAGAAGGCTCACTTGGCAGCTGTACTAATGCCGCTGGGTGGAGAAACGTTTCTCACCAATTAATTTGTCGTTGTTATGTTGAGCACACAAAGTTTTGTATTAAGCTGTCATAAAGTTATAGTACGACATTAGTTGGATGATAATCCGCATTATAGCTAAACCAACTTCTACGTTTCTATCAAAATTGGAAGATTCAACTCACTTTCCGAAATTTGGTTTCAAGATAACTTTGAAAATTAAAGGATTGAAAAGGAAATTGTAAATTTACATTCAAACCTCAAATAAAACCTCGAATTGTGATTGGATCAGTTGAATAATTACCTCTAGCTACAAACGGTCAAAAATCTGAGTCAAAGAGTTAGTGTTTCTTTTTCTGTTAGTCGTTCTGGTTTGTAAGGGATTAGGGTAGTTGTACATTGGGCAGTGGGGRTCMGKAACAGTGTGTTATGGTCTCTGGGGTACGAATGATGCCAAGGTTGCATGCCGTCAACTTGGCTTTACCAAAGCYATAGGAAGGTGGTACTACGGYCATGGGACGGGTAGARTATGGCTGTGGAACATGCAGTGTACAGGCTCAGAGTCCTCACTTGGAAGCTGTACTCACAATGGATGGGGAAGTGTTCACTCTGACTGCAACAGTCACACGAAGTTGTTATCGCGTGTAATCGCTACTTTGTCGTAATAACGAAAAGGTAAATATAATTAGTAAATGCAGCCYCCTTATCTTAGAAGAAATAAACCAAAACAACGGCGAAGTACAAAACATAGAAGTTAATGGATGAAAGTGGACCACCACACCACCACCGTCAACAACAAGAAAAACACCCGATACAAAAGTTCTATAAATGGTTATGTATCAGTCATATGCCTATTGTTCTGTTACATCTGAAAAACAATAAATTTATTAAAAAAATAATTTAAAGAAAAGGCTAAACTCGATGAGGATGAACCGGTTGAATCACGTGAAAGTGTTTATTCCGGTATGAAAAACGCAAACATATTCTCCAGCTAACGAAATGCAAAACATAATTGAAAAGCAGGCAATAYATGGTAGCAATGTTGAGTAAAAGAGCAAGATGGCCAAAGACAATTATACCGTAATTGACTTGTGACTCGCGATGCTTGACGTTCTGTGGTAGCTGATTGAAACTGGCTTGATTACAATTGTTCACATTCTATTGAAAAAGAAAGAAATGCAATTATTACAGCGCAACTTGCACAAGTATGACCACTTTTAATGTATTCGCATACGTTTATGCACATGGTTTTTGCTGCCAAACAAGCGTTTACACGTCGTTTCAGTTGGTAAAACCGGCCAGCTTCGCATCGAAATGTGTCGGTTTAACGTCAAAATAGTACTGGTAATGTATGTTAAAAACTAAACATGATGAACACGATTCTGAAAAAAAATTCAAGTCAGAAAAAATAGACGTGTATTGATATCAAATAGCCAATGGGGAACAGTGTGTGGAACGACTGGGATATGAATGAAGRYATAGTTGCATGTGSACAACTTGGTTTYACCAARACCATAGGATATTTGATCTATGGACAAGGGAMGGGTAAAGTATGGCTGYATTATATGCRATGTTCAGGCTCAGAGACCTYGCTTMGAAGCTGTACTAACGATGGATGGGGAAACGTTTACTSTAACTGCAACAGCCATGCAAGGGATGTTGGTGTCGTGTGTAATTGCTCTTGAGAATTGCATTATATTGTTATTTCCTTGATGAAAAAATGAAAGCGTRATACATTTGGTGTTCAATGTTGGCTAAGGTTCGGTGGCACTTATAATCATCTTAATTATAAGTGTCCTACGACTAAATACTAAATGTATGATTTTTAACAGCGTTTATTTTATGCCATACATCGCTACCTTTACCCCTCAAGTGAGGTCACTCAGTCTGAACATTCGCTCCAATGGTCGTTCTAAACATAAATAATCTTGTTGAAAAAGTATGATTAATTTGCACTCTTCTTATATCTCTCTGGAACAAGACCAGCCACATCATCACTGTGACTATTGCACCAAGAGGGAACGCTTCCCCATCTATCGTGAGAACAACTTCTGAGTGAAGATCATGTAATTTATTAGCTTAAGTCATTGATAATGTAAAAAACTAAGGTTAGGCTACAGTTATGTGCCATAAAAAAACGGGCAGGTTTTGCTTATTAAGAAGCTTCATTTACCAACTAACTAGAAGATGGGAAACGGCTATCAGAACAAAACAGGCTCTTTGGATTCGAAATAAACTAATGTGATACGATATGATCTTGGATYCCTTACTTTCTAATTAAAATACGTCAATGTAATTCAAACATACMTCTGTATAATGCCACTAGCAAGGTCTTCGAGACAGACCTACTTRTTTACAAATATGGTGTTTTATAGCCGTGCATTGTACAGCCATCGTATTGTACAAGTTCTTTACAACGGTGAATGGGGAACAGTTTGTGTTGGTCTCTGGGGTATGAATGATGCCAAGGTTACATGCCGTCAACTTGGCTTTGCCATAACTCTAGGACCTTGGTGGAATGGACATGGGGCGGGTAAAGTATGGCTGTACCGCATGGTTGTACATTGGGCAGTGGGGATCCGGAAAAGT